CTGAGGCCAGGCCGGCCAGCGAGGGGGACACAGGCCAGCGTCCTCCCGCCACTCTCCGGGAAGAAGCGCAGGGGGCCGCACGGCGCCAGCTCACCGGGGACAACCAGGCACCGCACAGTAGCACCAAACGGGTCGCACTCGTGGTCACAACTGTGTCCAGCAAGCCAGAGACAGGGCCGCGGCGTGGATGAGAAACGGAAAGCGCTGGAGCAGACCTTTAAAGGAGGAGCCCTGCCTCGAACGTCTGGACCCCGTCTGGACCCCGAGGCAAGGCCAGGGCGCGGCCCTCAGCTGGTCACGGCGCCCACCCCGAAGGCGCGCTGTCCTGGGCCTCTGAGCGGCGGAAGGGGAGCCCGCGGACACCCGGGCTTGCGCCTCGGTCCGCTGCTCAGCCTCTCTGCGCCCAGAGGCTGCAAACCGCTGCCTCCGGCCCTCCCGCCCGACCTCGGCGGAGGCTGCTGGACGCGGGCTCACCTGACCGCCACTCGTCCGTTACATAGGTGTGTGCTTGCGTCATCCCCCTCGTGTCCCCAAACTTTTGGAATCAGGAATTTTGACTTCATCCTCTTGACACAGGATTTGGCATCCCATGAAACATCTTTAGAAGCAAGAAAAAAATGCGAGCGATGCTCTCTCTCCACTTTATTAGAACTTCCCAAGCGTCTCCTTCTTCCGCACGGCCTCCATGAGTGCCTGGATCCTCTGGTTCCCGGTCTTTTCGTACGGGCTCGGACGGCGCGGGATTAAGTTGGGCGGCTGAGCTTCGTGGTCCTGCCCTGCAGCGGGGCCGGCGCGGGCTCCAGGGCGTCGATGTCGTTGTGCTTCCCGGGCAGGGGTTCCGCCTCGTCCTCCGCGTGGCTGGCGTTCCTCGGGTTGCAGGCCTTGCAGCAGAGCTTGTTGTAGCTCGGAATGGAGCAATAGCGAGACAAGACCTCCATCCTACAGAACACTGACTTGTCGCCTTGGCAGTGGCCCTCTGAAAGAGAAGAGTGGGACAGATAACCAAAGGACAAGGTGAGGGGACTCTGTCCCCCCGCGGGGTGCAGCTGGCTGAGGAGGCAGGTGAGAGCCGAGAGCTGCAGACAGCGCAGGCAAGGAGGAGCTGGCGGAGCTGAGCGGCTGGTGGTCAGGGGGCGGCTGCAGCGCGGCGCCCGTGCTCCAGGCAGGCCGGGAAGCTGTTTGTGTGTCAGGGGAGCGGAGCGCGACCTCACGCTCACCGCAGAGACTGGCGCTTCCCGGGGTGTCCTGCACCTCCGGCTGCCCACCCGGCCGCCTCCGCGCCACCCGCATCTCCTGCTGTCTCCTGCCGTGACCACGGCCTCCATCTCCCCAGCTCCACCTGGGGCCCTACCTTCCCTTTGACTGCATCCCTCTCCTCTGCCCGACCACGCCACCACGCCAGTCAGAGCGCTGCTTCCTACCGAGGATGTGGCCCGTCGCCCGCCTGGAGCCCCTTAAGGCGAAGCCTGTTCTCCTTCCTGTTCAGCTTCACTGGACCCCGACCCGCTCCGCACTGCACTGCTCGCACAGGGCCACTGCACACACTGAGCCTCTTTTCTTCTCCGGCTGCCCCCTCGGCTTCAGGCTTGGCTGAGAGGATCTTCTCAGTGGGTCTCTCCTGAGAAACCCCGGCCTGCTGCCTCCCAGGGCCTTGCCTACCCATCAGGGCAGGGAAAGGCAGCTGGTGCTGACCCTGTCACTCCCTGCAAGCCCCCGAGGCACAGATTCCCAGGGAGTCTGGGAGACCGTGCAACAGGAAGGCTGCTTACGAGGAAGAGAGCAAGTCCAGCACAAGGCCAGACGGATTTCCAGTCAGCAACGCCCCAGACAAGAACTCTCCGGCCCTCACTGCTGCAGACAGACCCAGCCGTGGCTCTCAACTCCCAAGGAGTCAAAATACAAGCGTCCGCAGGCCCCGCGATGTGGGGATACAAACAGAGTGGAGCGCAGGAAAGGCCTGGGTCTTCCTCACACCAAGACCGAGAAACATGCTCACAATGCATAGCAGACAGGTTGTGGCCTGGGGAAAACAAACGCAAAGGGCCCAGCCTGTGGCGTTCAGGGCTTGCACACTGGGAGAAGGCTCTGCTCACAGAAAACCTGCACACAGACATCCAGTCCCGGAGAGGCAGAGTCAGAACAACCCTGCTTGAACGTGGGGACACAGTGACACCTGCTGCCTCCCCTGCCTCTCTGTCCTCTTCCAAAGCCACTGATCACAGCCTCCCAGGGTCACTGGGGCTCCCCAGTTAGAGTTAGGGGCAGCTCCCCCCATGCAGGGTTGGACCGGGGAGGAGCCGGGAGCCTGATGGGTGGGACCTGTGCCACACAGTTACACTGTCCCCAGCCTGGGCCTTGCCCTACACACAAAGAACAGGGCTGTGCCGAAAACGTAGCTGTGTCTTCCTTTCCCTCACTCTCTCCCGACAGGCTGGGGCCCTGAAAATGGGCCATCACACTGATCTCATTGTAGGGGTGGGGAAGCTACAGCCCTGGGCCAAGTCGGTCTCTCCACCTGGTTTTATAAATAACATTTCACTACAACACAGCTACTATCACTTGGAATTAGAATGTCCTCCAAAGGTCTGTATGTGGAAGGCTCGGTCCACACGCAGTCTGGCATGACTGGAAAGGGCAGGGCCCTTGAAAGGTGGAGCCCATTTAGAGGAAGTGAGGCACTGGGTGGCGTGGCCTTGGAGGGGGCCTCTGGGATGGCCCCTTGTCTCTGGACTTGCTTTCTGGCCACCACAAGGTAAACAGCCCTCTTGTACCCCGTGTTCTGTCCAGGCTGAACTGTGCTGCCACAGGCCCAAAGCAGCAAGACCAAGTGTCCATGAAAGCCGACTAGCAGCCCAACAGCTGTGCCCTTTCCTTCCTGATCTCCAGAAGCCGGAATGCATGGCTGTGGACCAGGTCTGGCCCTCCATCTGTTCTGTAAATGAAGTTTTACTGAAACACAGCCATGCCTGTTTGTTTCTTACCTTTGCTGCTTCCCCACTGCAGCAGCAGTACTGTGTCGCTGTGACAGGGCTTCTGAGGGCTCCACTGCCTACACGAGTTACTCTCTGGCCCCTTACAGTAGGAGCTGGCTGTCCTGGCCACGCACATGCCTGGATCTGGGCTCGATGCGGGAAAAATACCCAGAAATGTATATAGAGTGTGTGGAGACAGTGCTGAGGACCCGGTCCTCTTCCAGGACACCTCCCTTCCACCTGGTTTACATCTTGACTTCTGATTTCCTTTCAACAGGGAGCTGCAAGGCTCTCCGTTGTTAGGTATTAAAGTAAGCCAATCAATGCATAAATGAGAAGCAAAGTCATTAGCCAAGAGCTTGACTATATAACATCAACCTGGAATACATTCAGAATATAGTTAGGCGCAGTGTCTGCAGTTCCACATCCTGGGATCCAAGCAGTCATGAACAAAAGCATTTTGGAAGAAAGTCACCACAAGCAGACTTTCCTCTTGTTGCCATTCTTTAAGCAACACAGGGTACTGAGTGTTCATGCAGCATTCCATTGTACCCGGTGTCGTGCCGTCATCTAGAGACGATCAGGACACAGAGGCTGTGCACGGGTTGCACACCACATCGTGCTACTGCAGGAGGGACCGGAGCGCCCGGGAAGGTCCTGAAACCAAGGGGACAAACCCTCGGGGGACACTGCCTCGTCACCGCTGTCCTTCAGCAAACACCCCAGCGGCTGGCGCCCTTCAGCAGCATCAGTGACCAGTGAGCCCTGGAGGAGGAGACCCACATTATGCCGCCAAAGGGCTGAACAGGCCCTGAAATCTGACTGGCAAAGGGTCTGCACCAAAAAAACAGTCTGGGTTTTATCATTCGGGATCTTCTACTGTTTCTTGCACCCGTGAACTAGCAGGACCTATATAAAGGCTTCCGTGTGCACGGTGTCGCATGCCGTTAACGCCATCACTCGAGAGGCTGCCGCAGGAGGATCGCTGTGAGTTCGAGGCCAGCCTGGGCTACGTAGTGAGTTCTGGGCCAGTCTGAACGACAAAGCAAGATCCTACCTCAAAACAACCAACCAACCAACCTATTGGTTTCTATGGAACAACCAAAAGCCATGGCAAGGAAACACACTTTTCATAAACACACCACCTAGGTGCCCCTCCCACAGTCTTAGCAGTCTTGAACATCATCGGGATTATGACTTGCTTAGTGGTTTCCTTTAAATTTATTGTTTAAACTTCAACTTTATTTTATTTTTTGGTACCAGGGATCGAATCCTGGTCCTTGTGTTTTCGAGGCAGGTGGTAGAACCACTGAGCTAAATCCCCGGCCCTTAAATTTTATGTTACAAGAAAATGATATTGCTAGTATTCATGTATGCTGAGTGTAGTAAATAAAAGTAGCACTAAACATGAATATAAAAAATTTCAGCCTGACAGTAACCACATGCCTTGTGAGCTCAGCACTCTGGGAGGCTGAGGCAGGAGGATCCAAAGTTTGATCCCAGTCTGGGCAAGTAAGGGACTTAGTGAGACCTTGTCTCAAAATAAAAAAAGGAATGGAGGTGTAGTGAAGGCCTTGGGGGTTCAATCTCCAGTACCACATCCCCTGCCAAAAGAAAAAGTCCTTTGAAGTACATGTTTAAGTCAAATTCTAATACATCAACAACATGGTTTGGATCAAAAAAATGTCCCCAAAAGGCTCCTGTGTTCAGAGGTGGGGCTTTTGGAAGGTGACTAGATCATGGGTTATGATATTCTGCAGATGAATCCACTGAGGAGTTCGCAGCTGCATGGACCCTTAGGAGGTGGGGCCTGCCTGGATGTGGGCCAGCTGTGCCCTAGAAGGGTGCGACTCCTCTCTTCCTCCATCTTGTTTTCACTCCACTTCCTGGCTGCCAGGGAGTGAGCAGCTCTCCTCAGCTGTGCCCTTCTGCCATGAGGAGGCAGCCTACCCATGGACCGAACCCACCGAGACCACGAGCCAGAATAAATACAGATATACCTTGGCACGTGCTGGCTTCAGCACATGGAAAAACCATACTCGTCACGTTTTGATGGGAAAAAGTGTTTCAGCATTCGGGACTTGAGTCAGTCTCACAACAGCTTGCAAGCAGCGAAGAACCTCCACGTACCCGTCGTTCCTGTCATGTACCGTCGCGCACTGAAAATGTCACACTTGCAGAGAAATGAAGAATGACTCCACTAAGCCTGATGACACAGTAGCCCGGGAAAGTGTGAAAGCTCATGACTTATTTGCAATTACATTATTTCTCAGGGGAACAAATTCCTTCAGTCCTTGTTGGTTCTGGTACCTGTCACAAGCTCTGGAACAAATTAAAGATGAGGATCAAGGTTTGATTACTTCCTCCTTTAAAGCTACGAACCCTGAGCCCTTCTCTGCAAAGCTGTGAGTGGGAGAGAAGTACGAACGAGAGAGATGTCAAAGATGGCACAAATGCTGGGAGTCGTGGCGCACGCCTTTAATCCCAGCACTCGGGAGGCTGAGGCAGGAGGATCTCTGTGAGTTGGAGACCAGCCTGGGCTACATAGTGAGTTCCAGGTCAGTCTCAACTACATAGTGAGACCCTGTCTCAAAAAAAAAAAAAAAAAAAAAAAAAAAAAAAAAGTGCAAAGTGAGACATTCTCTGAGGTCATTAAAAAGGACAATGAGAAGTAGAAAGGGCCCTGTGGTGGGAGTTGCATGTAGACCCTGTTTATGCACCTTTATGGTCTCCCACACATTACTGGGATGGAGAATAAACTCCCTTTCCCCTCAATAATAGGCAATGGGTGGGCCGGGGATTTAGCTCAGGGGTGTCACCGCCTGCTTGTCAAGCACAAGGTCCTGAGTTTGATCCCCGGTAACCAAACCATATCAGGCAATGGGCTCGAGTGCCCGTTTCACCCCTCAAACAGTTGTGCAAACAGTTTGAAAGGCGAGCACACCCACATTCCTCTGATGGCCCTGGTCACACGGGGGCCTCTCAGGGGCCGTTGCTCCTGCTGCGCCCCTTAGGTGTCCCCACTGATCCTGTCCCTCCTCTGAGTCATCATGCGCGCTCTGGGCAGCTGAACTCGGCCAGAGCCACGGGGACGTCCCAGAGGCAGGGCCGGCCCTGTGTCCCAAAGCCCATCTCCGCGATGCTGGGTGGGGCCCTGTACTTCTCTCTTGCGAGGTCCTGTGATTCTCACAGCTCCCTGGCACAGAAACGGAATGAGAGAGCTTCTCACCTACAGGACACAGCATGCGTCCAGGTCAGGCGGTCCTGCCCCCAACACCTCTACCACAGGGGCACTCCCCGCCCTGAAGGCTGGGGACTGTGCCAGGCACTGAGGCAGGGCCCCGACGGTGCCCTCTTCCTGAGGCCAGGCCACCCCGATGGCAGGAAACCCAGGCACTCCCTCCAGGGTCTCATCTAGCACCCACCCCTCAAAACCCTGAGCCACGGCAGAAGGCTGTTGTCGCATTTTCAAAGTATGTGTGTGGGGCCCCAAATATCTACACTGGGAAGAGGAAAAGGAGAGGTGAAGACATCTGAGTCAGAAACAAAGTAATGCCACAGAGTGACGCCAAGTCCTCAGCATCGTCCGCCTGCAGGTGAAGAGAAGGCGCCATTAGCTCGCCAAACCCAAGCACCCAGTTTCACTGAACTTTTATTGAGTTTATTTGGGGGATGCATGACAGGAGATCTTTCCATCATCAGTAAGAATAAAGGTCATTTTCACAGTCACTTTGGCACACGCTAACATTGTCTCATTAAAAAAAAAAAAAGAAAAGAAAACCAGAAAAGCAACAACAGAACCTATATAGTACGTCATCAAATACATACAAAACACTAATAAAATATCCCTGATAAACCAAAGTGCATATAGACAGGAGCACAATGCCCAGGACCGCACTGCACCTTCTGCAGTCACGCAGGTCACTCACATTGCCTCGTCAAAGTTGGAAGTTAACAGTCGTGACGATTCGTATTTACACACTGGTTATTTACATAACAGTAATTAGTGCCAGAGGAGGGAGGCTCAGCGGCGGGGTCCAGCGAGGACGTGAGGAACAGGCGGAGCGGCGCAGGGCCGGAGTGCTACATTGGCACGCTGAGAACCTAGGTGTGCCACCCCCGGGGGTAAGGATGCCCCGCTGGAACCCGCTGGGGCTCCAGGCAACAGTCAGCGCCAAGGGCCAGGTGGGCCTCCCTTTCCTCAGAGGGGCGAGCAGCACACCTGCATCTCCGTGGCACAGACCGCGGTGTGCAGGGGGCAAGGCCGTCTGGGTCTGGAACACTCCCCTCGGCAAAGGCAGGCAAGCTGGACCGGCACCCCTACACCTCCAGTGTCTGCTCCTGCTGGGACTGAGCCCCTCTGTGAGGCTGGAGCGGGCAGCCAATTCTGTTACCTCTCAACTTTAAGGCATTTTCTACATAGTTTTTCTAAGCAAAAAAGCAATAAAAATTGAGGTAATTCTGTAGTTGTTCACACTGGTAGGTGAGGCACATCCATATCAGGAAATCATCAATCAATCAATCAATCATCAATGCATCCACCAATCACACTCTCACTCTCCACCCTGCGGATGGGGTCATATGCACACAACGAGGAAAGGCCATAGCAGCAGGAGGACAGGACCACAGTGGTGGCGCGACCTCCGCGTCCCACCGAGGAACCCCACCTCTTCCGTACGACCAGACCCCAGAGAGGACAGGGGATGGCCCCGGGCCGTGCAGCTGGACGCAGAGGCCAGACGGAAGCGGGCCACGGTTTCACAAGTCAGAAGGACACACTCAGCAAAGGGGGAGCAGCAGCAGCAACAGCAGTGGCAGCCGGGAGGCCCTGACACCACCGGAAACTCAGGGTTCGGCCGTCCCGC